TGGGTCTTTGACCCAATGTTTTGTGTTTTTTGGACTTCTGAATTCTGTTTTCCATGATTTGTTTTCAGTGTGACTATTAGTTTCCTTACTGTTTAGTTTTTTGACATTTATGTATTTTCTTTTTAATTAAACCTGACAGAATATTTGTTTCTTTTTCTTTTATCTGAAAACATCCCCTTCTAAAACAAACAAACAAACAAACAAATCATTAGCTTTTTCCACTGGAAAATGTTGTCGTCCACATTCAGTCAACATTGTAGTGTACTGCCTCCACTTTTGTTTATGCTGTATCATAAAAGTAGATTCTGAAAATAACACACACAACGTGTTAAACTGTGCAACACATCAAGGGTCTTAAGCTTTTAAAACACTTTTTCAGTGTTTACACATTCTTACACATTTTTTTATTCCTATCTTTCATAACTTTTATTTGACTATTTTTGGGGACTTGCTCACCCTTCCTTCCCCACATGTGGAAAATCAACTTTGAAGCCTGGCTGAACTAACAATATGTTTGTTTTCTTTGCTCACAGAGGAAAACTGACCAGAGCCTTGTTTCTTACATTTGGGTTCAATATGTGAGTATTCTCTTGGAAATACACAATTTTCCGTTGTTGAAATTCAAATGTGTTATAATCATTTCTTTTAATCCTTTCTTTCTGTTTTTCTCTGCTTGTATCTTTTTCTTCTCTTTCACACCATCCTGTGTAGCATTGGTGGAATCAGTTCATATCTTGGAGCCCAGATAATTTCTGTGGACTTGAAAATATAACATTTCCTGCTGCAAATTTGTGGATGCCAGATCTAACTATTGAAGAAAGGTAAATTTTATATGGAAACGCACCCACACTTACAGATGCACATATAGTCACTAATGATGAAGACTAAGTATATATTTTTTAATTTATCAAATGAATTGCAAACTGAAAAGGAATATAGCCAAGACAAGGTTAGAATTAACAACTGCTAACTTAAATATTGACATTGTGCTTTTGAACATCACTCTTAGAAATCTCAGCCTCACAGAACCTTGATGTTCTAGCTGTCTGTCTGTTGAATATTATTTTGAAGTATTTTGCAGTGTGCTTTAGTAAAGTGCCTCCCAGTTGTCAGTTTCATAGGCATTAATGCACCTCCATACCACACGCAGGTGTTTTGAGTTGAGTGCTGACAACAACCCAGATTATCCTTGTTCTCTTTAGTCCAGAATATGCTGTGTCAATGATTTCAGAAAAAGAATATACAATTTAAATTTGTCTGACCACAGAAAAATTTTCTATTTGCCTCAGTCCTTTTCAAATAAGCATAGCCTAGACCTAACAGCATAAAGGAGGACAAGTAGGTGAGTTTTCTTACTTCCAGAAAAGCAGAGCCAGTGGCAGCTTAAAAATCAAAATGTGAAATGTGACCATGAGAACTTCGCAAGAAGTTCTCAACTTATGTAAACATTTACCACTAAGCCTCAGCACCCTTTTTTTTAAAAGCACATAAGGCGCTTGTCCATGTGCAACAACAGCCTATTAAGTAACAAAATATCTGCATCTGAGTGGCCATCCTATCTGGAATACACTGTCAGATATCACATGAGAGTAAAGGAAGTCTGGTAGAATCAGTGTGACCCATGGTGAAAAAAGGGGATAAAGTGGAAGAGCTATTACAGTGAAGAGAGGGTGGAGCACTGCTAAGA